CAGATTGTATGTGGTCTGATACTAATCTGTAGTTTGGTTCATGTGGTTCTCCCCCGAAACAATCTATCATTGCTTGCCATCTGTCTGCTGCCAGAGGTACTGTAGGGTGTGCCCTGGTGATAGTACAGAACAGCCAATGGGATTGCTAGGAGTAGGTATCCCTTCCCAGCCAATCACTGTTGAATGAGCCAGCGGTCCATGCTGGGAGAGGAGATAAATACCTTGGGTGGGCCATGTGAGCTCTCTCTTCCCAGGCTGCGCTGGACTGCCTGAGCTGACCAGGCCTCAAAGTCTTGGAATCATCATGGAGCCTGGTGGCAGCAGGTCCAGTGGTTGCTGCTGATACAGACAGAGATCAGTAACTCTTACCTTAAGTAATGCAGTGTCAGATGTTTGGGTCTGCGGTGCATGGAAGCTGTAGCCACACTCTCTAGAAGCCATGGAGTCTACACCTGCCGAGATGATCCCAACCCTCCTCTACCTCTTTCCCTGAAGTTCTTCAATAAATGTTTCAAGCTTTACAACTACAGTCTGGACCTCACTTCAATCGTTCAACAGAAGGGTGGTAAGTGCTGATGGACAAAGCGAGCAACAATACCCCTAGACAAGCAGAATCGGAGCTGTAGTAACCCATAGCAACCGACCCTAGCAACTCAAGGTGTGCTGGTGTGCTGTGGATCCAAAGTAGAGGTTTCTTATACAGGAAAGACAGGGAGACCCGTTAGTTCAGTTTATTGTGGATCACCCCTTCAGAGCCACCAATAGTGTTATCCTATATTGGGATAGCACTGACTGGGGAAGGGTGAGCGCTACATATATATTCCCTGGCCTAGAACCTTTTTATTGCAAACAGTGCCACCCAAGGATCTGGTTATAAAAATGTATGTGGAATAGAAGACAAAAGTTAAATATTTCAACCAAAATTGTTTGAGTGCGTCAAATGTCCACAAGCAACAAAGAATATCTGCAGAGAGTCCACAGTCCATAAAAGAAAAATAATTTGGTAATCAGAATATTTGTTTTTCTTTAGTATATGTACCAATTGTAAAGAACTGTATAACGTTTTTCTTTAATAATAATGTTGAGTGAAGCTCTAGCAATAGAGTGGAACAATTCCTGCCAGTCGTCTATATTAAAGATATATCAAGGTGTTCTTACCATTGCGTTATTTCTGTTGTGTAGCAATGTTGACGATCATAACATGAACAAGCTGAGGAAATTGCCCCCTTTTCAGTGGGATCATTTGTGTTTTTAAACAAAGTGAGAGAAAGTAGAGTGATTCCAAGTTGTGGAATAAAGGGAACTCCTTAACAGTAAATTACAGATTAATTCTTCCTGTGGTAACTCCTTTAAAGTCTGAATCTGTGACCATGACATTTTTTTTGTCTGGCATCACATCCTTATCTTTTTGACTAGGTTCCCATTTAAGGGTAGAGAGACCGGGTCCAAAGTCAGAGTGAGAAAATGAGTGGTTCCAGTAGTGATCTTTAATGGTTTAGGTTCAATTTGATATTATTTTTCAAGAATAAATCTAAGGTATATGAAATGAATGGGTATAGTGCCTCAGTAGATAAAGATGGGGATATTGTTAGAATACCAGAGTAGAAATCTTGAGTATAAAGGTGTTTTGTGTATTAGGTTTCCAATAAAGCATTTGGGTGAGCCTAGCAGCTTGATAGTATATCTAAAATATAGGGAGTTCTCCCTGAGGTTTAAATCTAGCTTGAATGCTTATAATTCTAGGAACTTTGCCCTGCCATATGAAGCATTTTACATGTGTTTGAAGGTGGTCTATATAGGAAAAAAATATGGGTAAGGAGCAGAACAGTTAGAGGATTCCTCCTTCCTATAGATATCGTATTTATTTCAGTCATGGAACTGTTATATTATAGTTCTCAGTAATAGGGGTGATTTGTTTTGCAAAGTTTGGGTGACATGGATTCCCAGATATGTAATTCCCTGGGGTTTCCACTGGAATTTAAACATCCCTGCTAATGTACATGAAATGGGAAATGGGATAGCCTTTCACCTAGTGAGGTTGACTTTAAACCCACAAAGAGAGCAGAACTGATGCAACTGATTAAGCAAATTAGGTATAGTATTTGGTTTGCACATGCACCCCTATTCCTACACCCAATTACAGTGTGCATCTCTCACCCTAACCCTGCCCCCCTCACCTGGTTCTACCCACTTTCTCCTTTTAACAAAGTCTTTCCATCTCCTGTTTCCATATGGAAGCAATGCTGCACAAGTGTCTCTAGGATGAGAGGAAGAAGGGGGCCTCTCTGTCCATCCACTGACCATCTTTTAACATTTTTCAAAGCTCCTGACAATTTGGAAGGGGTGGTGCCTATAGACACATGCGTAGCATACTTTATGCAAAATGGATATACAAACATTGTGCTAATTGTCCAGTAAGAGTGCAGGGGAAAACTTTTAACTAAAACTGTTAATCACTGTGTCAAAAGCAAAAGCGTGGCATGTAAGTGAGTATAGCTGGCCTCCCCTATAGTTGTGTCCATTCAACACAATTACATTTCTATGGCAGGTGCATTCCCTTCCAAAGTAAAAAAAAAAAAATGACCTGTGGACAGCACTGTTTTGTTTATTAGACTACCAACAAATAAGTGACATCATACAAAACTATCCCAAAAGAACAAAAATACATGCTTCATATTTTTAATACAAGCCAATTCACTGAGAAGATGTTTTACTACAGTGATACCAACGGTTAATGAAGACGAGCCTTTTTCCCTTTTGTAAATAATAAGCCGGAAGCGGGACGTGTGTAAAGCTCCTTTCATGGGATTGTGACAAAATTAAAATACTGCACTTTCTTTCTCCTCCCTTCTCTATTCATAGTTAACTGAGTGCCTTAGCTCTTCATGCAGGATTCTCCTGGATCTGCAACTCCTCGTGTTCCAATGGTTCTAGCTCGCACCTCTCCTGATCTAGGAGAGAGAGAGAGAGAGCTGTTACAATCCCAGTAACTTTTGCAAAGCATCCACTGCTTCCATTGCCGACATAAAATCTTCACTACATCAGATTTTAGAAAGAGCAGGAGAAGGGGATGGAGAGTCATGGATGAAGCACTGTTTTTAGCTGAATATGCAGAACTCTCCTTGGGACGCTGCTCAGTTTTTCCTGCGGTAGCTACCCAGCCTGCCCTGCCTGTGCTCCCGGTGATCCAAAGGCTTCCATCCACCATTTGACATCGGTGGTGTCCAGCCCACAACTGGGGAACTTAAGCCAGCTCATTCAGCATTCTTGGCCACATCTGTGGCCTTATCCATCCCTCTCATGAATGACATCAAGGGGCAGGACATTGTTTGATGTGGTCCAGTGCATCCTGGGAAGCCAGAGGCTACTGTGACAGCTGATGGCAGTGGCCAGTGAAAGAAGCAGCTGCTGCGTTGCAGGTCTGTGTCCCCTCGTCAAAATGCCCCCCTCATGAATCGCATATCAAATCTTTATTATTGTTGTTAGCTGCTTTGTTATCCAAATTAGTGGACCGTTTGTCTTCTGCGTCACTAAGTTCGCTGATAGTGCACATGCGGCGGTGGTGTGGTCGGCTTCAAGTTCTGCTAGCCAAGGTCAGGCAGATGTTGCAGCTCCAGACGCACCTTGTGTAACTGCTATTTTTGCTCCTGACCGTTTAGGCAGAGAAGCTATTGTTTATGAACTTTCTCCTCTTGGTTTTCACCTGAGTTAAGGAAAAAAAAATGGAATGGTGAATTTGTGGATATTTTAATGTTCTTGCCTTCTTCTATAGAATTTTCTTAGGCCATGACAGGAAAGATTTAGATAATAGATAGGAAGACAAACATAGGCACATTTGCAATTGCCTGATAAGAATTGTGGCTAGTTTCAACATATAGATATTGTTTTGGAGGCTTATAAAACCTTTCCGGGCCTATCCTGGTTTTCCTATGATGAGGATTTTAGGTTTGCGGTTCCTCCCTCTTTGCGTTGGGGTGTTAAGGATGTGGGTTGGTGGTTAAATCGCCTTTTGCCTCAAAGGCCCTCTTCTCCTTCAGTTTTGCCAAGCTCTAAAAAAGGTAACTGTTTTACTTTCAATGAAAGTATCTGCAGGTGGAACTCGTCTTTCAGGTACAAGCATGAAAGTGTGTTTTGCTCAAGTCAGGACCTGGTTTCCAAATGTTTTAAACAAATGGCTAGCCAGCATTCAAGTAGGAAGCTTTTTTAAAAACCTCCATCCTCAGTGATTCTGGCAAACATGCTTGGCTGCTTCCTTACCCAAAGCATAAGATAGTGGACTTTCTTCTTAATGGTTTCACCTTTGGCTTTAGATTGCCTTCCTTTCATGGTCTTGGTTGCTTGCCTGTGCAGGGGTCTGTGCATAGGCTGGAGCATTTAGGTGAAATGAATTCTGGTAGAGTTGCTGGTCCATTCTTTTTGCCCCTTTTCATAATTGTAGGCTTTTTCCTTTGGGTATTGTGCCAAAGAAGGAGCCTAATTCCTTTCAGTTGATACATCATGTATCTTTTCCTAAAGGTGGGTCTGTAAAGAAGCTTCTGATTGTTTTAAAAGTTATATCCACCCTAACCTTGTTTGTGATTATTATTTTAGGTTCTAAACTGGTTGTGTGGATTATTGGTCATTCCTTTGTCCACTGGGCCTGGAAAAGGGCAAAACAGAGGATTTTTTTCTGAAAAATTGGGTCTTGACCCTCATTGTTTTAAAGTTCTTTGGTTTGGAAAGAAGGGCATATATTGCAATGAGTTACTTACTTGTTTTGCTCATTTGTTGAAGACCTAGCCAACCCCTAGTTTTCTTAATATCTGTTTGGCAGGTAATGACTTGGATCATTTTAAAACATTTGGTATTCTTTTTGCCATCAAATATGATATTTATCAATTGAAGCCTGCATTTCCAGATTTGGTTATCGTTTTCTCTGAACTTACGTATCGAATTTTTTGGTTTGATTCTGGTAGTTTAAGGCATATGGAAAAGATTAGAAAGAGACTGAATAGATCCACTTCTAAATGTATGTCCCACATTCATTTTTTTAAATCTTCTCTTCACATTGGCTTGGAAGGGGGTTTGCCAGGTCTTTATCAAACTGATGGTATACACTTATCTGATATAAGGGTTGGATATTTTCAGTATTGGTCTGTAGACTTTATTGAACTGGTCATAGTTGGGGGTGGGTGCAGGGATAGGCATGGACCAAGGCTGTGGCGGAAATTTTTCAAAGTTCAGACCTTAGTGAAGGACACCAAGGTACATTTCAAACTAAACTAATCAAAAACCCTCTAGACTGGTGTGCGCACACCTATCTATACAACAATTCAGAATTGCACTAGGACTACAACTCCCAGCAATACATTATACAGCAATGCAGAATACCACCAACCATAGAGGCCTACAAATTCCAGCAATAAATTATACAGCAATGCAGAATACCGCCATCTATAGAAGACTACAAATCCCAGCACTACATTATACAACAATGAAGAATACCACCAACTATAGAGGACTGCAAATTCCAGCAATACAATATACAGTAATACAAAAAGATATGAAGCTGCATACTCTGTGTTGCTTCAGGATCACGGCCTCATGTCTTCAGGGTTTCAGGATGGCTCTCAGGTGGCCAGTGTGGGGCTTTCCATCGGTCAGAGCAGTGATGTTTTGTGGTCGGTGCAGGGCTCTATGATGGGCAGTGTGGTATTTAGTCAGACTCAGTGCATTCCAACACACATTACAAAAAGCTTACATTTTATCGAATATGGGAGACAGAGGGATACTTTGCTGTCCTCTGCAGAGGCTTCCCCCACCCCCACCCCAGCATCGGGGCCCTAGTCAGCCTTTGGCACCAGCTGCCCCCCCACCCCAGCGTCGGGCACCAAGTGTGGTACCCCATTGCTTGGCCATATTTCTTTTTATTAAAAGAAGGGGGAGGGGCAGAGCTAAATATCAAAAAAGCTGGAGATATGCTTAACAAAAATACTTGACAAAGCTCTCATTTCTAGGTCTAAGTGCGCCTTATTAGGTCTGAGGAAGGGAAGTTAACCTTTTACATTCATTGTTCTGGTATTAGAATACTTGGTGCCCAATGCTGGGGTTGTGGGAGCGTTCTGCAGAGATCAGCACAGTAGCAGCAAACAGCTGGTGCCCGGGGCTGAATAGGGGCCCGACATTGAGGTGGGGTGGA